TAGCTTGAAGAAGAGAAGGCTGAGAGGAGATATGATAGCCATGTATAAATATGTGAGAGGAAGCCACAGGGAGGAGGGAGCAAGCTTGTTTTCTGCTTCCCTGGAGACTAGGACGCGGAACCATGGCTTCAAACTACAAGAGAGGAGATTCCATCTGAACATGAGGAAGAACTTCCTGACTGTGAGAGCCGTTCAGCAGTGGAACTCTCTGCCCCAGAGTGTGGTGGAGGCTCCTTCTTTGGAAGCTTTTAACAGAGGCTGGATGGCCATCTGTCAGGGGTGATTTGAATGCAATATTCCTGCTTCTTGGCAGTGGGTTGGACTGGATGGCCCATGCGGTCTCCTCCAACGCGAGGATTAACAGACTTAGGTAAAGTTATGAATAAATGGCAATTAAAGGATGTATGGAGAGTGGTAAAGGATGATGAAAAGAAATACAATTTTTTTTCTGCTGTACATAGAGTATACACGAGAATAGATTACCTTTTTGTTTCAGCAAATATGTTGAGTAAATTGTTAAATGCGAATATTAGTAATATAAGGGTCTCTGATCACGCCTTGGTGTCAATGGAAATTGTGTTAAAATGTGAATATGAAAAAATGAAAAGATGGAGGTTAAACACTAGGATACTGAATTATAAGAAGATTGTGGAAAAAATAAGAGTCGAATGGCAAGAAATATGGAAAATAAATGAAAGGGACGTGTCAAAAGGAATACTGTGGGATACAATGAAAGCGGTGGTAAGAGGCTTATGTATAAAAGAGGCAAGCATATTAAAAAATTAAGGATGCTTGCCTCTTTTATACATAAGCCTCTCATCAATAATAGCCAATAGAATTAATAATTGTATGTATAAATATATAAAAAATTACCAGCGTGGTTTCGTGAAAGGGAGACAAATGCCAAATTTAATAGGGAGAGTAATAAATAAAGTTTGGGCAACTCAACAGGGGAAAACAAAAGTAGGGATACTGGCCCTGGATATATTTAAGGCGTTTGATTGTGTAGAATGGAGGACACTAAAAATAATTATGAGTAAGTTTGGAATGGGGGAAAAATGAAAGGATTGATAGAACAATATTATTCAAACAATACAGCGATAGTAACAATAAACGATGGAGTGACAGGAGATATAAAGATAACGAGGGGAACAAGACAAGGTTGCCCTTTGTCGCCAATATTGTTCGCCACAGTGATAGAATTACTTGCTAATGTAATAAGAAAAGATGCGAAACTAGAAGGGGTAGGAACAACAAAACAAAAAATTAGTTTATTTGCTGATGACACATTATTGACAATTTAAAATATAGGTGGCAATATGGATAGAATAAAGTCACATTTAGAGATATTTGGCAAAATAACAGGTTTACAAATTAATTGGAAAAAATCAGAAATGATGTTACTTAATTACACAAAAAAGGAAGAAGAATTTATGAAACAGGTTAACATGGGAATAAAGATCAAGAATGAAATAAAATATTTAGGAATAATTATAACTAAGGAATTATATGAAATGGAAGAGGCAAATGTAACAAGATTAAGGAAAGTAACTCAAAAACAATTACGAGAGTATGAAAATATAAAACTATCATGGTTTGGAAGGGTAGCGCTAGTTAAAATGAAAATTCTTCCAAAGATAAATTTTATATTTAGAATGGTACCACTACAGATATCAGAGGAGGAATTAAACAAATGGCAACAATTAATAAATAAATATTGCAATGGCAATAAGAAAAAAAAAGAATAAAAAACCCAATGTTGAGAAATGTGTTAGGAATTTGGAATAGATACAAGGAAATATTATTATCAGAAAGTTCAACACTAACACCAATAATAATGGATAAAAAATTCCCAAAAAATTTAAAATATATATTAGATAAAAAATTAAGAAAGAAGAATATAGATAGAATTGGAGATTGGATAAAAGCAAACATGAGGAAGGAAACTATATTGAGAGAATTTAGAGATATTAAACTCTCAAGGTTCCATTGTCTACAGTTAGAGCAATGGTTCAAGAATTGGATAAAAAATAATGGGGAAGGAGGCAAACTTACACAAGTTGAACAAATGATACAAAAAGAAAGAGCGAAGGGAGGATACCACAAGCTGAAAGGAATAACTAGCAAATTGTATAAGATAATTATTGATATTAAGGGGAAAAAAAATAAAGGACGTAATATTAAGAGAGATATGGGAGGAAGATCTAGGGATTAGAATAAAAGAAGCGGATTGGGTACAATTATGGGATCAAAGATATTTAAAGAACTTATCGATACGTGTTAAAGAAAATTATTACAAATTAGTTTGGAAATGGTACTTAACACCAGTAAAGATTGCAAATATTAATAGGAATGCCACAAAAAATTGTTGGTGAGGTTGCCAGGAGGTGGGTACATATAGACATATGTGGTGGTAATGTAAATATGTAAATGAATTTTGGGGGAAGGTATTTGGAGAGATAGAAGCTATAATGGATATGAAGATAGGGAAAAGTGCAAGTATTACATTGTTGTCACTATATAATGTTAAGAAATGGAAAAAAACAGAGAAAGATGCAATAGATAACATGTTAACTGCAGCAAGATTACTGATAGCGAAGAATTGGAAAGGTAAAATAAACATATCAATTGAAGAATGGTATAAAGAATTATGGAAAATAGCAATAAATGATAAATTGACATGTAGGTTAAGAGTCAGGAAAGGGGTATGGAAGGAAAATGATTTTGATAAAGTTTGGGGAAAAGTTATTGAGAATGGCTTAAAAGAAGTAGACGGGAAATTACCTCCACAAGAAGAAATGGTATTTTGGAAAGAGAATGCAAATTGAAGTGGCTCGGAAGGGGGGGGGGCACAGAGGTTGGGGAAAAAATATACAAGAGATATATATACACTTGATGTAATGAATTGAGGATGTAATGAATTGAGGATGGAATATAAGATTATTGAAGATATTGATGTATTGATGTATTCTAAGAAAACCAATAAAAAATATTTGGAAAAAAAAGACCTGGCAGACTAAGATAGCTCGCCTGAGGGAACAGCTGGGCTAGACAGGGATATCAGGGTTGATCTTAGGGAGAAAAACATCAAGCTCAGGAAATCCAAAAGACTCAGTGAGAAAGAAGCGCAGAGAAACTTTCCAAAAGCCAGAAAGTCAGGGTCAAAGAAATGCCTTCGGGTTTTGCAGCCCTTAAATTAGAGAGCATCTTGTTGAGAATTCGGATCAGGCAACACTGTGTAATAGTAAGGCTATCAAGTCCTGTTTCCAGTTCATGTTTTTAGTCTAAGTTCTTGGGAGTTTTGTTTTAAGAAACTGTTATAGCCTTGGTTCTGGATTCATGCTTGTAACAGAATATCTACTTATAATGTAAGTTTTGAATGTGTTTATTAATGTTAGTATATGGCAAGCACAGGCCAGCTTTAGTTACAGCTGATTGGTTGATGCGTTGCCATAGTAGCAAAGCCTGCAGTAGAAATGTATTCCTTTCAGCAGAGCTAGGAGGAAAAATGGGCGGAGCTAACTGTCAACAGAAGAGTGGACATTTTAAAAATATGAGCCAGTCTTTAGTTGGTTGAGCTAAAAGGAAGATGTCCCTGGCTATGTGAGAGCTGGAGGAGGTTCCTATGCTAAGTTTAAGTCTTCAGCCTTGATCTTTAAGGTGTTAAAGGAACTATTTTGAATTGGAATCTAGCTTGTGAGCTAGGGGAAAGGAGTTTCCAGTAATATATTGTGCCTTCAGTGGCAGAACAGAAGCAAATAAAAGGATAATCTGTGCATCAGTATTAGTCAGTGGGACTGAGGAGAAAAGATGTGAGGTATAAATAAAGTTTATTATTATTATTATTATTATTATTATTATTATTATTTTAAAGTGAAGGAAGTTACTAATCCAAGTTGGCAAAAGATAAGCCATTCTGAATGTTAAATAGTAACAGTTTCATGTGTTCATAATAATAAAAGTCAACTGTAACAATATCCAGGAAGTACTGTGAAGAAAATACTGTGTAAACAATATGCTTTATGTGTCTGAGAATCCACGAATAAACATTTCTTTGTTCAATTCTTTGTAAGACTTGTGTCAAGTTACTGAGGTTAAGATATTCTACAGGAAGACGGTTGAAGATCTTATTGGAGCTGAATACAGTTTATGGTGTTGAGTTACACATATTAAAAGTGACACATACAACATCATTTAAAAGTCAAGCCTCTTTTACAAATAAACACACACACACACACATATAAGTGCTCAGCCACTCTATCTCCTTTCTCCCTACATATTGTATTGGTGACGGCGTCGTTCCAATGCTAATATTTTGATTCTTGTTTTTCTGGATTTACATTCATGTTTTGATTCTTGTTTCCCTGGATTATGCTCATGTTATGATTCACATTTTCCTGTACCATTTGGATTATTTTGATTATTGCCTTTGAAGTGTTTTACTCCTCACCAGTGTAGTTGGGTTTTACTTACTTTTCTGAGTACCTGTTGGATTTTGCCTTTCCTATTCCTTTTGGTGATTTTTCCTTTTTATAAGTATTCCCTACTGCTTTTGGTGCTAAGGGCAAGGTGAACTCTGGCTGGAGTGCAACAATAAATAGGTATTGCTTTAAAGCAGGGAGGTATTTAAGGCACCCATAAGGAAATGCCAGAAAAATGCTGGCGATTCAATCAAAAGAAGGAAGTTATGGACAAAGCTTTTCGGCAGGGAAGATGGAGCAACAGCACACTCCCCCCCCCCCCCCCCCCCCCCATAGCTGGAACCGAGCACAGCCTCCAAGATGCTGAAGATGGGAAAGCTTATATATACCTCTATTTATGTACAGTTATCTGTCTTGTCAGTGTATAACAGCATTGAATGTTTGTCATATATGTGTTCTGTGATCTACTCTGAGTCCCCTTCAGGGTGAGAAGGGCAGAATGTAAATACTGTAAATAAATAAGTAAATAAATATAATGCCCTGTCATTCCTGCTGCAACAAAGATATAATTCTGCTCACAGTGCAGCGGCCAAAGCGGATGTATTTATGCCCACTCTCCTCCACGTTGTATATATAGATGAAGTTGTCATGAGAGCCAATAGCCAAGAAATCCCCATCTGGAAGAAGAAAAAAAGTCATAAGAAGAGAAGGATGGAAGACAAGCACACGAGCTGGATTGGGAAGCAAATAATATTCAAAAAGGAAACAACAGTCTAACCTGGTGAATAGCGCACCACCGAGAGTTGCTCATTCCCATCAGTGTAGCCTGACAGCACTTGCTGGGTCTCAGTGTCTATTACAACCCAGCTGTAAGAGAAAAATTAGTATTTTTAGGGGCCAGTAGCTAATTATGGGCTCCATATGCGCAATCCTTTGGTATAGGACTATCCCCAAATCTAAAAAGGCAGTGGAAGCCCTGCCAATTGCATAAAAGCCACAGGCTGACTGGGGAAAGGATAGTTGGGGTTAAAGAAGTCATTACCGTCCAGTGCTGAGCCCCACTGTCACCACTTTCCCACTTGGGTGGAAGTCGGCACAAAGGCCTGTTTCCTAAGGAATAGAGAAAGAGGAGCCACATTAGATTTATTCAATACATTCGTAGGATATACGTAGGATAGACGTAGGTTAGATCAAACCAGATACAGCATTAATTCAACACGTTTAAAGCCTACACAGAAAAAAGACAAAGAAGGCACCTGGTGATGAGAACAAAAACTGGTGACATTTTTTTAATCAGCAGGTCAAATATACCCAGAAACAGGTAGAACGTTGGCCACTAGATTGGCTTTTAATTGTTTAATTGTTATTGTTCTAATTGATTGTTTTAACTACTGCGGTTATTGCTGTTAAGTAAGTTATTTGTTGAATTGTTGGCATCAAATTGTGTAAGCCGCCCTGAGTCCCCCCTCGGGGGTTGAGAAGGGCGGGGTAGAAGTGCCCAAAATAAATAAAATAAATTAAATAAATAAATAACATTTGAGGCACCAAAAGTTCGGTTGGCCAGTGAATAATAATAACAGCAACAACAACAGCAGCATAATCATTTTAGCAGTTACTTTGAACTCAACAGCAACCACAACTATATTTTGGCAGTCATTTCCAACATGCCTACAAGAGCATGACAGTTATGCCCCCTTCTACACTGACATATAATCCAGTTTCTGATCCCACATTATCTGCTTTGAACTAGATTATATAGGAGTGTTTTTTTTTTAATCATTCAACAGGTTTATTTGATCAAATACCCTTCCGGGTGAACAAAAGGAAAGTACAGTACTGAGACACAGCTCAGTTTTATAGCCAAAGCCTTGAGCATGCATGCAGGCTATTTTTAGGCTATTTTCTTCTATTTGTGCCCATTTCTATCTATTTATTTTTGGCACCAGCTCTTACCAGTATTCCTGTGCCTGCTTTTCTTGGCTGTCTTCCCCCTCCTGCGCCTGCTTCTTACTAGGCATTTCCCTTTCAAACTTTACCCCTGTCTGAACTCTCCGTTTTGGTTGGTACTTTTACAATATTATCTTAATTTTAGTGTAGGCATGGGTCAACTTGGGCCCTCCCTCCAGGTTTCCCAGATCCCAACTTCCACAATAACTCCCAAGAATTGGTAGGCTGTTAGGAATTGAAGTGAGAGTTGAAGTGAGGAATTGAAGTGAGAGTTGAAGTCAAAAACACCTGGAGGGCTGAAGTTTGGCCATGCAGTTTATATGGCAGGGCAAACTCATAAAGCCCAGTTCAAACCAGAAAAGTTGGTTTCAGATACTAGACTACATGGCAGTGTTGATTCAGTCTGGGATACATAGAAAGTGGAATCCTGTAGGTTTAATATCACTAATTGGAAATGTGCCACATGGAAACAGATTGGGCTACTGACCGGGCTCCAAAGGCTATGTTTTCTGGCCTATCCGGGTACCATACCTCCAGCATGACGCTCCATGCCAGCGCGTGCTCCCCGCCATCCCACATGCAGAGCTGCCTGTCATAGCCACAGGTGACAATAAGGTCCCGCGAAGGGTGCGTGCCCAACCCCCAGAGTTCATCTGTGTGCCCCTGCAAAGGAAGGAAGCAGAGCAGGAGGTGGTGGAGGAGGAGAGAACTACGAATGAGGGGAAGCAGACTTCCCAAAAGCTGGCTCCACTTACTTGAATGATGGGCTGGAAGCCATCTGTCAAGCTCCCCAGGAGCAGGGCGTTGCGTGTGGTCCCCACTAGCAGCTCCCCGTTGTCTCCTTCGGCAATGGTGCGCACTGCACCAAATTGCTCTGGGATCTAGATTGGCAAAACAAATGACAACTGTATATGTCAGCATCACTGTATCAGCCTGGGCCTGGCTGCTTTGGTTCTCTGCCATAAAAAAAGGAGGAGGGGAGGGAGGCTGGGTACATTTGGAGAAGGTAGTATAGATAAGACATCTGTTTCAAGAGAGGGAAATTGAAGCTGCAGTTAACAGACTGTGGGCACAATATTTGGCCACTAAGCATCAGATAGGAGTTGGGGATGATATATAGAGGAGGTTTGAGCGGGGATCTGTGAGCCAAGGTGACTGCCACCAAGAAAGCAACTTTCCATGAAAGATGAGAAAGATTGGCTGTAGCCATGGTTTCTAAAGGTGGCTTCATCAATGCTGACAAAACAAGGTCAAGCTGCCAAGAGAGAGATGGAGGGGATACTGGTGGGCGGAGATTCCTGTATCCTCTTAGGAAGAGTTGGACAAGAGGGTCCTGAAACCAGGACGAGCCACCTTCCCTGCGGCAATATGCTGACAGTGCTCACAGCACTTGATCGAAGAAAGTACTAGACCCTCATCTGCCAACGTCGCAAGGAACTGAAGGAGTGAAGTAGGGGCCTGCAGAGGCTGCACACCATGTTGGTGTGTAAATGCCACAAAGCGCTTCCACTGAGCCTTGTACAAGTGCTGTGTTGATGGCTGGTGTACAGCATTGAGGATGGCCGTTACTGCTTCAGGTAGTGGTGCAGCCTGACCCGCCATGCCGTCGAGGTCTGGGTGATGGACCTGACCGTCCTGGATCGTGAGCAAGTCCGGCCGACTGGTCAGTGGCAGATGATCGCCCACAGCCATGGTCTTGAGGAGGGCGAACCAGGGTTGTCTTGGCCACCAAGGCTCTGTACGCATCCAGTTTGGCAACCACTCTGCTGAGGAGAAGTATTGGTGGAAAATGTACAACAGGGGCCCGTGCCAACTGTAGAGGAATGCATCCCCCAGACATCCCTGTTGCATGTCCTGTGGCATCCTGGCACAGTAACGTTTGCATTTGGCATTGACTGGCACTGCAAACAAGTCAATGTACAGCCATCCCTACTGTCAAAAGAAGAGGTGGGTCGTGAGGGTGGAGGGACCACTCGTGGTCGGTGGGCCCAGTCCTGCTGAGGTGGTCTGCCACCGTGTTGTCTTGGCCGGGCAGATGCAACGCCACAAGATGGATTTTCCTGGGAATGCACCATTGCCAGATGTCGAGAGCCAACTGCAGCAAAGAGCAGGACCGTGTCCCTCCTTGTTTGTTAATGTACCAGATGGCTGTTGTGTTGTCCGTGCGAATCTGGACCACATGGCCCCTGAAGGAAGCGCTCAAATGCTCAGAGCACCTTCTGGACAGTAGTCAGATACAACACATTGATATGGAGTTTGGTCTCGGCCGATGTCCACAGGCCTTGTACTGAGAGGGTGCAGGAGTGGGCTCCTCAGCCTTGAAGAGAGGCGTCGGTGGTGACGACTGCTGAAGGCCCTGGAGGGCGAAATGGCATGCCCATGCAGACACTGTCGCAAAGAGTCCACCAATGGAGGGAGCACCGGATGGATGTTGGTGGATGTAACATGAGGTGCTGACTGTGATGGAGAGGGTCGAACACCCTGATGAACCACACCTGCAGCGGTTGAAAGTGCAGCCGGGCAAATGGTGTTACAGCAGTTGTTGAAGCCATATGCCCCAGCGTCGACTGAATGTGCTTGGTCTGCACAGAGGACGAATGACAGATTACTGCACAGCTGCTGGGAGGTTGCAAAACCGCTCTTCCGGAAGATACGCCTTGCACTCAATGGAGTTGATATGCACACCAATGAAGCAAATGTCTTGCATCAGCTCTTGGTGGGACTTTGCACATTGACCACGAGGCCGAGACTCGAAGGGAGCGTGAAGTCCAGATGTTGCAGGAGCTGTGAGCGATAGGCCCCAACGACCAACCAATCTTCGATGTAAGGAAACACAGTGATCCCTTTCACCCGTAAGTAAGCTGCCACCACTGCCATGACCTTGGAAAAGACCTGAGGTGCAGTACAGATCCCGAAGGGGAAGGCTGTAAAAGAATATGCCTTGTCACATATTTTGAAGGACACTTGTGGTGGCGTGGCGTGATGGCTATGTGGAAGTAGGCATCCTTCAAATCTATTGTGGCGAACCACGCCTCACGAGGAAGAAGTGGCAAGATGGTCTGGAGAGTCACCATGTAAACTTGCATGGTCGGATGTATTGATTAAGACTACACAGATCCAAAATAGGCCTTTGGCCTTCATCCTTCTTAGGGACTAAGAAATAGGTGGAGAAAAAAGCAGAAGAATACTGAGAAGGGTGAAGCAGCACAATTGCCCCTTTCTGGAGGAGGGTGCGAACCTCATCCAAAAGGACATCAGAAAGCGGCATAGTTCTAACAAAGCCGAGATGTGGAGGACTTTCAAACTCAATAGAGTAACCGTGGTGAAGCACATCAAGCACCCACCTATCGGTGGTGATAGATTTCCATGCCTTGTAGAAGCCGGCCAAACACATGCCGAAGCACACAAGTGATGTTGGTTGAGAAGAAAGTTGAAGTGAAGGTACCCTGTGAGGAAGTGAAAGGGAGACAGGTGGAGAAAGGGGAGGGGAGATGTCACTAAAAACAATGTTTGCCCTTGGTTTGAAACTTACCCTTACCCTGCTGACGCGTTGAAGACTGCATCTGCTGCTTTGGTGAACGTAGAGCTCTCTGCTAGGTAGAATTACATGAGGAAGACGGATAAGTTCTCCGAGTGGATGAAGAGGACTGCTGGCCTCTAAGTCGAGAATGATAAGAGGGCTGCGTGAAGCCAAACTTGTTGGCAGCCTGCCTGACTTCTTGAGACTCCTTCAAGTTGGTGTCTGTCCCAGGACTGAACAACCCAACAGGCTTGTCCTCCACCAGCATCTTGCCTTCCTTTGACAGTGTTGAAGTGCGCAGCCACACATGCCTTCTGATTGACATGGCAAGAGAAAACCGCTTTCCTGCCGTGTTGGCAGTGTGCTGAGCCATGTCCTTGTGGGCACGAGTGAGCACAAGAGCTTCATGATGGTATATCTTGGCCATGCTGTGCTAAGGCGATGGGAGCAGATTCAGGTATGGCCCGATCTTGTTCCACAGAAAGGCATTGTAGGAGGACATGTATGCCCCATAATGCGCCATACGAGCCGTCAGGCTGGCATTGGCATGGGACTTCTTCCCCAAGATTTCCATCATTTTCCCCTCTTTATCTGGAGGAGTGGGCCGAGTCTTATGGCAATGCTTGCACTTGGCCACGTTCACCACCACAGTGTTAGGCTTAGGCAGCCGTGCTACCCAATCTGCAGATGCAAGATCAATGAGGTAGTGTGCGTCCCATGCCCTAGAAACTGCTGGCACCGCTGACAGGGCTTGGTCAGGATTCTTAGTAAGCTGGAGTAAGTATGGAAGAGCAGGTAAGGTTGTAGAAGCCAATAGCTGCTGGACCTGCTCATCAGGAGGAAACATTGGATCCTTTACTGCGGTGTTTCTCAACCTGTGGGTCCCCATATGTTTTGGTCTTCAACTCCCAGAAATCCTAACAACTGGTAAACTAACTGGGATTTCTGGGAGTTGTAGGCCAAAACACCTGGTGACCCACAGGTTGAGAACCACTGCCCTACTGGGTCCCGCCCCTTCTTTGTGGAAAGATTCTAAGCCTTTGACATACGAATCATCAAAGCTGAAAACACAGAAGTGTCCTCTGAAGGTGGTGCTGGGGAGGTGTCTGCAGGCTCTGGGGCCTTAGGCACATCCATGGAGGACCCTGACTCCGAGGCAGAACAAGGCTCGTCTGGAGGGTCTTGCAGTGGAGTCACAGCGCGCTGTGGCACTTCCTGCTGCAGAGGCACCAGTTGGGCAGGAGGTTGTGGGTGTACTGCAGCCTTAAGCTGAGGCTCCCAAGTGGAGCAAGGCAGTATGGTCTCCCCCTGGAGGATAACGAAAGCCATAGTGTTCATCCAGCTGACAGCCCTCTGACCTGGCAGTTGCACTGGCAGTGTAGGGCTGGTGCCGGCCATATGGGTCTGGGCTTCGACCCCGCCAAAAACCTGGAGATGGGAAGCAATTCTGAGAACTGGACCGCCACATGGTCCTTGAAACCGAAGATTGATAGGAGGGAGATCTGCACGACCTGCGCTGTTCCCTTGGTGACAGGGCAGCTGGTAGCAAAAGAGCTTGCCCAGGGCTTAAGCGCCGATGCGCACTGCCTGCCAGCAAGCCTACCGAGTTATTCCACCGGTTTGAGCCAGCTTGCGGCTCTTCCAAGGGCTGCGGCATCAAGCAGGAAGGGGAGGGCGAAGCCCCATCTCCACTTCCGGTCAAAGCCAGAAGTATACGTTGCACCTGCCCCAGCTGCTCTTGCGGAGGAGTCTGGAGCGGCAAGGAAGGCAGCGTGGGCTGCAGCGCCTGCTCCAGAGAAGGAGGCTGAGAAGGCGGTGACAGGAGCGAGGCAGCGAGGAATGACGGCTATGGAGAATGCTGAGCATGCCGCTCGTCTTCTGCGTTCCCTCCCTTATTCCCAGGTGAGGGAGTCCTCTCTTCAAGCCCTTTTCGCTTTGCAGAAGCCGAGGCCAGGGAAGCACTATTCTGGCCCTTCAGGGGTCCAGAAGTCTCCGATACTGCTCGGTGTCCATCAGAAATAGAAGGCAATAGAGTCCTTTCACAAAGGAGGGCCTTCAGTTGCTGCTCCCGGCTTTTCCTTGCCTGCGGCGTGAAAGCCTTGCAGGCAGAGCAGGACTTCACAGAATTACTTTCTCATAAACACAGGAGACATAAAGCATGGCTATCTGTATCAGAAAGCTTCTCCCCACAAGAAGCACATTTCCTAGCAACTACAGTAGAAGCCATCATCAATTTAGGGATGAGACAAAAGAGCATGACAGCAATACGGGAAACCAGCTTGAAAGCATCTGGATAAGAATCAAGGGAACTGGGACTCAAAAAGATCTTATTGTAGGCATCTACTACAGACCTCCAAGCCAGGAGGAAGAACTTGATGAAGTCTTCTGCCAACAGTTGACCAAACAGGCACAGAGAAGAGATGTAGTAGTCATGGGTGATTTCAACTATCCCGATATTTGCTGGAAAACAAACTCGGCCAAGAGTACAAAGTCCAACAAATTCCTCGCTTGCCTTGCAGACAATTTCATGGTCCAGAAGGTAGAAGAGGCAACAAGGGTACTCTTGATCTCATCCTAACAAATGCGGAGGACCTGATCGATGCGGTCGAAGTGGTAGGATCCTTAGGGGCAAGTGACCATGTGCTCCTGCAATTTGAGGTACAAAGGAAGGCCGGAACTAAGACAAGTCAAACCCGCATTTTGGACTTTAGGAGAGCTGATTTCCAAAAAATGAAGGAAACACTGAGAAGCATTCCGTGGACACAGATACTAAAAGACAAGGGAGTTACGGATGGATGGGAATTTCTCAAGAGTGAAATACTCAAGGTGCAATTGCAAACCATGCCAACAAAGAGAAAAAATAGGACAAGTGCAAAGAAGCCAGAATGGATGTCCAAAGAACTTCTAACTGTGCTAAGACACAAAAGAGACATGCACAAGAACTGGAAAAAGGGAGAAAAACGAGCGCAGGCTTGCCAGGGACATTAAAAACAATAAAAAGGGATTCTTTTCTTATGTCAGTAGAAAAAGGAAAAACAAGGAGGCGATAGGGCCTCTTCGAGGAGAAGATGGGGCAATGCTGACAGGGGATAGGGAAAAGGCAGAACTACTAAATACCTTCTTTGCCTCGGTCTTCTCACAAAAAGAAAGTCATCTTCAACCTCAGCAAGACGGAGTGGATGAGGGATTTGAGGACATCCAACTCCAAATTGGGAAACAAGTCGTCCAGGAATACCTGGCCGCTCTAAATGAGTTCAAGTCCCCAGGGCCAGATCAACTACACCCAAGAGTATGGAAGGAACTAGCGGAAGTCATTTCGGAACCATTGGCAACCATCTTTGAGAGTTCTTGGAGAACGGGAGAAGTTCCAGCAGATTGGAGGAGGGCCAATGTGGTCCCAATCTTCAAGAAGGGAAAAAAGGATGACCCAAACAACTACCGTCCGGTCAGCCTCACGTCAATACCAGGCAAGATTCTGGAAAAGATTGTTAAGGAAGTGGTCTGCAAACACTTAGAAACAAATGCTGTCATTGCTAATAGTCAACATGAATTTATCAAAAACAAGTCATGCCAGACTAATCTGATCTCTTTTTTCGATAGAGTTACAAGCTGGGTAGATGCGAGGAATGCCGTGGATGTAGCGTACCTGGATTTCAGTAAGGCCTTCGACAAGGTCCCCCATGACCTTCTGGCAAGGAAACTAGTCCAATGTGGGCTAGGCAAAACTACGGTGAGGTGGATCTGTAATTGGTTAAGAAAGACGAACCCAGAGGGTGCTCACCAATGCTTCCTCTTCATCCTGGAAAGAAGTGATGAGAGGAGCAGCAGGGTTCTGTCCTGGGCCCGGTCCTGTTCAACATCTTTATTAATGACTTAGATGAAGGGTTAGAAGGCAGGATCATCAAGTTTGCAGACGACACCAAATTGGGAAGGATAGCCAATACTCCAGAGGACAGGAGCAGGATTCAAAACGATCTTGACAGATTAGAGAGATGGGCCAAAACTAACAAAATGAAGTTCAACAGTGACAAATGCAAGATACTCCACTTTGGCCAGAAAAACGAAATGCAAAGACAATGGGGGACAATGCCTGGCTCAAGAGCAGTACGTGTGAAAGATCTTGGAGTCCTCGTGGACAACAAGTTAAACATGAGCCAACAATCTGATGTGGCGGCAAAAAAAGCCAATGGGATTTTGGCCTGCATCAATAGGAGCGTAGTGTCTAGATCTAGGGAAGTAATGCTACCCCTCTATTCCGCTTTGGTTAGACTACACCTGGAATATTGTGTCCAATTCTGGGCACCACAATTCAAGAGAGATATTGACAAGCTGGAATGTGTCCAGAGGAGGGCGACTAAAATGATCAAGGGTCTGGAGAACAAGCCCTACGAGGAGCGGCTTAAGGAGCTGGGCATGTTTAGCCTGAAGAAGAGAAGGCTGAGAGGAGATATGATAGCCATGTATAAATATGTGAGAGGAAGCCACAGGGAGGAGGGAGCAAGCTTGTTTTCTGCTTCCCTGGAGACACGGAACAATGGCTTCAAACTACAAGAGAGGAGATTCCATCTGAACATGAGGAAGAACTTCCTGACTGTGAGAGCCGTTCAGCAGTGGAACTCTCTGCCCCGGAGTGTGGTCGAGGCTCCTTCTTTGGAAGCTTTTAAACAGAGGCTGGATGGCCATCTGTCAGGGGTGATTTGAATGCAATATTCCTGCTTCTTGGCAGGGGGTTGGACTGGATGGCCCATGAGGTCTCTTCCAACTCTTTGATTCTATGATTTTAGTCAACAATACCAGTCCGAAGTCAGGGTTGGAGAGATTAGAGAAGTCCGTTAAACAGTCCAAGTCAGGGTTGGAAAGAGAAGAGTAATCCAAAAGACAGTCCAAGTCATAGGTAAATTTGTAAATTTTCAGAGAGGTTCCTAAGAGCTGCTGCTAAGGTGGCTAGAACAAAGGAACTAGAGCTACAGCCTTTCCTACAGCACATATGCCTCATGGGGAAGAGGGGCGGGGCTGCAGCCACAAGCCTTGTCAGCTTTTCAGAGGTTTCCAGTGATTGCTGCACAGGTGCATCAACTATCATACGTGCTTATTTCACCAGACACCACAAAGGAGAACTATCTTTTTAGGATTGTGAAAGATGGAATAAACCACTTGTCTGCAGCGTTTTATTGTTATGAGCTTGATTTTAACTCCAAGATCTTCCAGATTCTTTTTGTCCATAATATTTTATTGAGAATAGGGGGTAGGAGGTTACAGAGTTGTGCATCTAAGGTGGTTTTTCCAGTATATAATAAAATGAAATAAAACAAAATATATCTTCTATAGTGAAAGAATGGGTAGGACAGGGGACTAATAAAAAGAAAAAAGAAAAAAAGGGTATTGTGACTTCCTCATTCCAACTTTGCAATTTGGTGTCCTTTTCCTTATATCAGTCTTATTTCATCTGGCTCTCATCTGGCTGTCTGCCCTGTTCTGATTCTCCCTGTAGCTTTTCTTTTATAAAATTTTCAACTGTGAACCAGTCAATCTTTTCTTGGATTTTCTGTCGTTTAAATCTTATTTGTTGAGTATGGCTGTCCATAGCCTTTATGTCCATAATTTTCATTAACCAGTCCTCTATTCTGGGTTGGTCCTGCCTTTTCCAATTTTTTGCGAATACCATTCTGGCCGCCGTAATCAGATAATTAAATAGTATTTCCATTTTTTCCATGTTTAAATTGACTAGTCCCACTTTCTTCTAGGAAGATCTTCCAGATTCTGACATTAAGACAGTTGAACCAGACACAATGTTATTCCAGATGAGATCTGGCCAAAGCAGAATAGTGTGCGAGTATGATTTCCCTCAATATTGATGCAATCTAGAATTGCATTGGCCTTTTAAACTGCCACATTACATTGTTGACTCAAGTTTGGAGTTCTGCAGTCCTCCAAACAGGCCTGCTATGCCATTAAGAGACATGGCAAGTAAACCATATTTCCTCCCCACTCTCACCATACTTCTGCCTTACCTCTGCTTCCTGCAGGAGGCAGAGCCCAGGGCTCCATCGGACCAGACGCCGGTCTTTGCCGCCTCCGCTGAGCACTGAGCCATCATGGCACAGGCAGAGTGAGAAGATGCTGCCTTCGTGGGCCCGTGTTTGCTTGCCGATTTGGTAGGTCCCTGGTAAAGAAAACAAGGCGAAAGACTGAGATCTCCATGACAAATACCCATCTGGTGTATCCATTCTTTTATTTTGGTTTTAGTTAACAGGGTTCAACGATGATTCATGCCGGATCTTCTCTGGAGTGCCCTTTCCCTATCGGAAGGCTGTTTGAATCACAATGGCTTCTGAATAAAAAGCTCAAAGGACATTTAGGGAATTGTACTACAAAAAAAAAGAAAAGATCAGCTTTTCCATCCATTCACCACTGGCTCCAAGTAAGGTTGCATCTGTACTGCCATGTAATTCAGTATCTGGTTACAGATCTGCATTGATATGGCAGTGTAGATCCATAATAATCTCCAATCAGATACTGATTATATGGCAGTGTAGACTGCTAATAATCTCTAATCAGATACTGGATTATATAGCAGTGTATACCCATAGTAATCTCCAATCAGATACTGGATTATATGGCAGTGTAGACTCCTAATAATCTCAAATCAGATATTAGATTATATGGCAGTGTAGACTCATAATAATCTGGAATCAGATACTGGATTAAATGGCAGTGCAGACTCATAATAATCTGAAATCGGATAATGTATTATATGGCAGTGTAGATCTCCAATCAGATATTAGATTATATAGGAGTGTAGACCCATAATAATCTGGAATCAGATATTAATTATATGGTAGTGTAGATCCGGCCTAAGTGAAAGAGTGTACATTTTGTATGCAGAAGGAGGCAGATTCAATCCCTGGTACCTCTGATGCCTATTCTATTTTGGTAATAACCAAACAGAACCTGTAATAGCCTCAATGCTCAGCTATGCCACCCAGGCTTTCTCTTGGAATGAGCTTTACCTTTTGCTCCTTTGCCTGGCGTACTGATATCTGCCTTCATCCAGGTCCAAGTGAGGATGTTGCCTTCCGAGTCTCCAGTGAGGACATCATTATTGGTGTCAAACACAAAGCACTGGATGAACTTGGGTTTCTTGTATTTCTGGAAAGATCGAGATAGGAGGAAAGTGAATAGAATTATTTTCAGGTCCAGATATCAAACTGGGTCTTTTGTCCCATTTCCATTAATCTGTGCATTCTGTGAATTTTAATCTGCATTTTATCTGTATTTGTTCTATATATATCAATAGTGTTTTTGTTTTATCTCACTGTTTTAACCACAAAGAGGGTTAGCCATTTGGCAAGTCACTTCACTACCGAGAATGTATGCCAATGGAAGCAGAAACATTGACTGAGTCAAGAAGTTAACGATAATAATAACAACAACACGTTTTATTTGTTACCTGCCTCTCCTATCAACTTGAGGTGAAGTACAACCAAGAAAAAAAACCTATCAATATTAAATGCTGTTGTAGATAAGTCACCAGAGGCTGATGGTTTAGTTGATGATTTAGATAGCATTGTGAGCTTTCCTGTGTATAGTTCAGAGAAGATTGTGAGCTTTCCTGTGGCACAAAGTGATGAGCCCTCAAGTCTGGGAAATAATAGTTCTCTCTGTGAGAAAACCAGCTTGAAATGTGCAGGGCCTCAAGAGCACTCAGGGGAGTCAGAAGTAGCAACAGCAGATAAGGAATCGAGTGAAGAGCTGAGTGATAAGGGGGGTTCCCATTGGAACCCACCTGCAAGCTATGAACAAACCTCTTTGTTTACAAATCAGAGCTGAAAATAGATTGCATCGTTCAGAGAGATTATGTGGGAAAGTTGGGAAGGAAATTCATGGGAAATGGAAAGATTTAATGGGTGTCTATTAAACAGCAAGTTCTTTACCTTAAGGTCAGTTCAGGCAACACAGTTTGAATAGTTTATTAACAAGGTAATTGTCTTTTATAACATGTGCATGCACACTCACACACTGAATGATCTGTCTTGAAAAATCTGATGCCAATGTAGATGTCAATGTGAATTCTGAGGCCAATTTAGATGGTGATGGTTTGAGTAGTGAAAATCCTACAGCCTTGGAAAGTGAAAGTCAAAATTCCCATGAGAACATGCATTCCGAGCCGAGCGGAGAAGTTTCACTCCCTTTTCCTCCCAGCCTTAGTTCTCCAGAGAATCTGACACCTTGTCTGCCTAATGAGGATAGGCGGGGGCAGATTTGGCAGAGCCGGGGAGAAGCACAAAGTTTACGTAGGTCAGCCAGATTGAGAGAAATGCAAACAAAAACTTCAGGCATGTCTCGCAATAGATTTCTCAGCTTTAAGTATGCCTGGCCTGAATGCAGCTTCAGACCAGGCATCGTTCCAGAATAATGTGCAAGCTTTTGCAGGTCTCCTGATTCAAGTGGCCTTGTTCCTCGGAGGTTTTCTAGTTGTTCCAAGTACAGTTATTGGATTGCTAACAGGTTCCAGGATTCAGCAGTTTTGCTGTGGGGTTTATGATCTTGTTTATGGACATTTCGTGTTGCTGATCTTTACTATGACTTTTTACCTTTGCATTTTTCCTCTATTTTGTATTCATCTTTCATCAATAAAAAAGGATTGTTTTCCTGAAGTCAAGTGTGGTGGATGGTTGTCTGAGGGTCCAGTTTCCTGCTCTGGGTCGCAACAGAGTGCAACAAATACATACAATAAAACACACATAGCAAAGCACTCATCTATATCTATATCTATATCTATATCTATATCTATATCTATATCTATATCTATATCTATATCTATATCTATCAAACACAGGATTCAAAGATAATGACTGCTGGAATTGTGAACTGGACACAAGCAGAGCTGGATGATCTGGACAGAAAAACAAGAAAACTGATGACAATCCAGTACTCATTACACCTGCGTAGTTATGTCGACAGATTTTACTTGTCCAGAAAATCAGGAGGTAGAAAGAGGGCTTCTGCAAGTGAAACAAACCGTAGAAGAAGAGAAACACACCTTGGCAGATTATGTGAAAGGCAGTCAAGAACCAACATTGAAGGAAGTCAATAGTAGTAAACTGCTTAAAGTGCAAAAGACAAAGAGGGAATATGGTAAAAACACAATCTAGAGCAGAAGAGAAAACTGGCAAAAGAAGGCTCTTCATGGACAGTTCCTGGGAAAACTTGAGAGCCAAATTGACAAAGAAAAAACATGGCTGTGGCTCACAAATGGGACTTGAAAAAAGGAGACAAAAGAGGGCCTGATTCTGGCAGCCCAAGAACAAGCCATTAGAACAAATAACATCAAAACCAGAATTGAAAAGTCGACAACAGATCCCAAATGTAGACTCTGCAAGAAAGCAGATGAAACAATAGATCACATCCTCAGCTGCTGCAAGAAGTTTGCACAGACAGACTCCAAGCAGAGGCATAACACCGTTGTTCAGATGATTAATTGGAACCTGTGCCACAAATACCATCTGCCTGCGACAAAGACAGGCCGGAAAAAGTTACAGAAAATGAACACGTCAAATTCCTCTGGGATTTCTGAATTCAGACAGTTATGGAGCAAAATACTCCTGACCTCACAATCGTCTTTAAAAACAAAATATGGATTGTTGATGTTGCAATCCCAAGTGATAGCAGGATAGAAGAGAAACAACTGGAAAAGCTAACACAATATGGGATTTAAAGATTTAACTGCAAAGATTCTGATACAAGCCAGTCAAGGTGGTCCCAGTGGTTATCAAGACCTTGGCCTGCATTTAAAAACAATTGGCGCTGACAAAATTACCATCTGCCAGCTGCACGCATTATTCACCAATACATCACACAGTCCTAGATACTTGGGAAGTGTCCGACATGTGATCCAATACTACAGTCAGCAGAGTGATCTTGTGGACTCACCTTGTTGTGTTTCAAATAATAATAATAATAAACACGCAAAATACTGTGGGGCTTTCAAATCCAAATTGACAATGTTTTGCAACACAATACGCCAGACATCACGATTGTGAAAAAGAAAAAAGTTTAGATTATTAATGTACCATACCGGGTAACAGTCGCATTGAGGAAAAACAACAGGAAAAACTCAGTCATTATCAGAAGGCTCTGGTATAAACAAGTACAGGTTGTCCCAGTGGGTGCCATGTCAAAAGATCTCAGCTGGCATTTGGAAACAATAAACATTGACAAAATCACGATCTGTCAACTGCAAAAGGCAACCTTACTTGGATCTGCGCGCATCATTCGAAAATACATCACACAGTCCTAGATGCTTGGGAAGTGTTCAACTTGTGATTTTGTAATACGAAATCCAGCATATAGATCTCATTTGTTGTGACATACTGTGGTTTTGTATCAGTAAAATAATAATAATAATAATCAAATAAAAAAACCAGCATAGTAATCTTGTTGATCTCTTACAAGATACTGATCCTGACATTTAGAGCTCAAAATGGCCAAGGATCTTTATATCTTAGGGACTGCCACGTTGCTTTTTTTTTTCCATCAGTGGTTACCTCGATCCACCCAGGAAAATCTCCTATATCTCCTAGGGAAGCTACAAGGTGTAGAGTTTTTTCGACTTGTGCTCCAATTCTGTGGAACTCATTGCCTCCATATGTTAGAGCAATGTCGGAGTTGCGACCTTTTGTAAAAGCGCTCAAGACATGGCTGTTTGGTTGTGCATTTAAGTAATCAAATCAAATTTGCCAAAGTCACTGCTAAAGGTTTTTATGTTGAATGTTTTATATTGTGAAATGCTATTTTAAATTGTAAGTCGTTCGGAGCACCTTGGTGGAGAGCGACAAATTAAGAAATAAAGTGAAGTAAAGTGTATCAAATAACAATAACAATCATAATCATAATCATACGATATGAGGGGTATTTTTTAAGTACGGTCCGTTTTGTTGTAGACACTAGTAGTTCGCGCGCATACCGCAACGAGCGCATGCGTCGTGCACCGGCATGCCTCGGGAACAACTGTGCTCAGTTTCCGCTCTGTAGCTAACCTGTACGGTTCTGTTCTGTGCTTTAAAAATGTTTAAGACTATCAACTCACCTGCCGCATGTGAGGTTCGCTCAGTGATACGGTTTTTGTCAGCAAGGAACCTGCCTACTGCAGAAATTCATTGGCGGGTGAGTTGATAGTCTTAAACATTTTTAAAGCACAGAACAGAACCGTACAGGTTAGCTACAGAGTGAAAACTGAGCACAGTTGTTCCCGAGCACGCGCTCATTGCGGTATGCGCGCGAACTACTAGTGTCTACAACAAAACGGACCTTACTTAAAAAATACCCCTCGTATGTAGGGTATAAACGTCATATCCCAAATCAAATAATGTACAACCAGAAGGGACTAAAAGAACCAAGTGACAGTGGAGAAAGCAATAAGGCAATGCTCACTGCAATAGGGGAAAAGATGTGCCTAAAGCGGGGGAGGGAGGGAAGATAACTTATTTCTATGGGACATATAGTGTATGTCGCATCTAACACCTGTGTCTTCAAGGTGAGATTGAAGCCATGAGCCCCTTCTTGGTTTGGCCTCCTTTTCCTTTAGAGTTGCAACCTCACCAGCAACCCATTCCTCACATTGACACCAACAAAGCCTCACCCCAAAGATGCCCTGTTTCTTGGTCAGACTGCTCCCAATCCAGGTCCAGAAATAGACATGGGATTTTCCAGTGGTGATAATATTGCTGCTGTCTTGGGGATTGAACTCCACTGTCAGGACGGATTCGTTGGTACTCTGTCAAATGCAATGGGAGGAGAAATGGGGAAAAAACAAAGGGAGGAAGGTTTAAGGGAGCAGATACTCAAGTGATGGGATCAATGGTCAAAGGGAGAACACTGGGACTTTCAGCCAGTCTGTGATATTTCCCTGTGATGTATGGTTTTTAACCCAGCCAGATGGAGTTCAACCTGTTCTGAACTGCTCACCTTGATTTCGGCCTGTTTAAGACCCCGGGCGCAATCCCAAACGGATAGCATGTGCTCATTGGATTCATCCACCACACAAAGGTATGCGCCGTTGTCCTAAAAAGGAGATTAAAATTATCATGAGAGGTCTGTTGTATTATTATCATTATTATTATTATTACTAATATTAAAAGGCCAGGCGTTAACCCAAGAGTTCACTAGAAGGTCATGGGAAAGGGCTAGGTGTTACTCCAAGAGGTCATTAAAGGGCCGTGGGAAAGGGCCAGGTATTACCCCAACATTCACCAAAAGGCCACAGAAAAGGGCCAGGTGTTGCCCCAAGAGTTGACTAGAAGGTTGCAGAAAAGGGCTAGGTGTTACTCCAAGAGGTCATTAAAGGGCCGTGGGAAAGGATCATGGGAAAGGGCCAGCTGTTACCTCAAGGGTTCACCACAAGGTCACGGGAAGGGGCCAGATGTTGCCTCAAGGGTTCACTAGAAGGCCATAGGATCCAAGAATTATTCCCAAAAGGTCAATGAAGGACCATGGGAAAGGGCCAGGCCTTAGCCCAAGAGTTCACTAGAAGGTCATAGGAAAGGCCCAGGCATTGCCCTAAGAGGCCATGGGAAGGGACCAGCTGTTACCTCAAGAGTTCACCAAAAAGGTCACGGGGAAAGGGCTAAGTATTATCCCAAGTGGTCATTAAAGTAGGCATCCTCAAACTGAGGCCCTCCAGCTGTTTGGGCCTCCAACTCGCAGAAGCCCTAATGAGCTTGTTTAATTGTCAAGCATTCTAGAAGTTGCCTGCATTAAAGGGTTGTGGGAAAGGGCCAGGCGTTACCTCAAAAGGTTGCTAGAAAGCATTAGTCCAAGAGGTCATTAAATGGCCGTGGGAAAGGGCCAGGAGTTAGCTCAAGAGTCCACTAGAAGGTTGCAGGAAAGGGTCAGGGCCTGATTGTTACTAGTAAATGCCAATACAAAATACATAACCCAAGGCAGTACTGGGTACTATATAGGTAAAGGTAAAAGTTTTCCCCTGACATTAAGTCCAGTTGTGTCAAACTCTGGAGGTTAGTGCTCATCTCCATTTCTAAGCCCAAGAGCCGATGTTGTCCATAGATATCTCCTAGGTCATGTGGCTGGCCTGATTGCATAGAGCACCGTTATCTTCCCACTGGAGCAGTACCTATTGATCTGCTCACATTTGCATGTTTTCAAACTGCTAGGTTGGCAGAAGCTGTGGCTAACAGCAGGAGCTCACTCTGCTCCCCGGATTAGAACCCGTGAACTTTCGAACAGCAAGTTCAGCAGCTCAGCAGTTTAACCCACTGTGCCACCAGGGGCTCCGTACTATATACATTGGTGAATAATTATCTTGAACAATGGTGCTGGTAAATAGCAGTATGGAAGGAAGGTTAGTGCTCACCGCGGTGGAGAACGCAAGGGAACCCACGCCTCTCTCGAAGTTTCCCAGGCCAATTGTTTGCAGAGTGTTGAGGTTGGAGGAGTCCCAGATGTGGACAAAGGGTTGCAGGGGCTGCGAGAAAGGAAAGGCGTCAACAGGGAAAGAGTCAGCATCCACAGTCATCAAAACTACAAAAGGGTAGAGGCTGGAAACACGTTGGAAGTAGCTCACGATAAATGACATCAAATTGTCTCAGCCAGAGTTGGAAATATGTAGTCTAAGGGTTTACCTTCCCATCCTTGTCCACACCAGCCATTTGCCCGGTGGCAACACGGATGCGATCTGGGTGTACAGCAAGGCTGGAAAAGAAAACATCATATATTTGAGAAAAACCATCTCCATTCATTATTTGTTTCCTTTCCAAAGTCATCAAACCTGTTCCACTAGCATAACTCGTATAATCCCCAGGACAAGGTACAGGACTTTAGCCTTGGCCCAACATTAGCAGTCAGCAGAAGTCAAGCCTCCTTTGGAAAAGTCCAATACAACAGCACAGAATCCAACAGTGACCCAAGTTGAAACCCTTCATCTGTAAGGCAACCAACTCTTTCGACTCTTCTGCTTTTAATATTACTTGTCTAAATAAAAAAAAATACAATAATTATAATGGTGGTGGAGTCTCTTTCTCTAGAGCAGTGGTTCTCAACCTGTGAGTCCCCAGGTGTTTTGGCCTACAACTCCCAGAAATCCCAGCCAATTAACCAGCTGTTAGGATTTCTGGGAGTTGAAGGCCAAAACATCTAGGGACCCACAGGTTGAGAACCACTACTCTAGAGATTCTAAAGCAGAAACTGGATGGCCATATATCGAGAGGGTTTTGATGGTATCCTATGATCAAATGCAGTTGGACTGGATAGTTTTTGTGGTCCCAACTCTAGGATTCAACAATAATAATCTTTAATAGTAATCGTAATAAAGACAATAATTGACTTTCCCTCTCTGTACCCTTTTAAGTTGAGGCTGGATAGCCATCTGTTGAGAGGGCTTTGGTGGTGCCTTCCTGTCTCGCAGGAGGAAGTTGGACTGCATAGCCCTTGGGGTCCCTTATAACTCTAGGATTCGATAATAATAATAACAATCACAATAGTAATGATGATGATAAAGTCTCCTCCTCTGGGAGTTTTTTTTGCACCAAGACTGGATGACCATCTGTTGGAAGGGCTTTGATGGTGCCTTCCTGTCAGGCAGAAGGGGGTTGGACTGGATGGCCTTTGGGTCTCTTAAAACCCTATGATTCTATGACACAAATATCCCATCCACTTACGAGGCTATTATTATTATTGTTGTTGTTGTTGTTATTTGATACACAACAAGATTAGTACACAGCAAACACAATCACTATGCTGGCTTTTGTATTGGATCACATGTCAGACACCTCCCAAGTGTCTAGGACTGTGTGATGTATCGGCAAATAATGCATGCAGATCCAAGCAGGGTGCCCTTTTGCAGCTGACAGATGGTAATTTTGTCAGCGTCAATTGTTTTTAAATGCAGGCCGATATCTTTAGGCACTGCACCCAGTGGTGCCAAACACCACTGGGACTACCTAAAACCAATGTCCCATCCTTATGGACATATTCTTGCCAAATGTCTGTTATCGTATTCTCCTATCATTTGGAGGGGAAGAGGGGGAGATTTTATGCTCTGGTGTCTCACCAGCGAACACAGTCAGTATGCTCCAGATAGTGGCGTTGTGTGCGACATCGCAGGTGATACAGCACAACCACACAGGCAATGAAGTAAACCAGCTCCCCAGAAGTCAAGACAAAGAGATTGGAGCGGCAGTCACGACCGCGGTAGCCATAGCTGGGACTGTCAAGGAGCAAGGCAATGATCAAAGGGTGACAATACAAATGATTGCTTTGTAGCAGCCTTCCCAACCCTGTCAGGAATATTATTATTATTATTATTATTATTATTATTATTATTATTATTAAACTTTATTTGTACCCCGCTAGCATCTCCCGAAGGACTCGATGCGGCTTACAAAGGCCAAGGCCTCAACACACAAAATAACAATACAAAACCTAAGGCAAATTAAAAACAATTAAAAACAACAAACAACAAGCAATAAACAATACATCGAAACACGATAAAACTGGGCCGGGACAGAGTAAAGGGTACAGGATTAAAAGTGCTGATGTGACAGGTGATATGTAAGGATTATAGGGCAGATGCAGTGTGCAGTGTGCGGCGATCTTAATTCTAATAAAGTGCTTATGGGACTTGTATTGGAGATTCCTATTCTGGGAAGGCACATCGGAACAGCCAGGTCTTCAAGTTCTTTCTAAAGACTGCCAATGTAGGGGCCTGTCTAAGATCTTTGGGGAGGGTGTTCCAGAGTCGGGGGGCCACCACAGAAAAGGCCCTGTCTCGTGCCCCACCAAACGCGCTTGCGACGCAGGCGGGATCACGAGCAGGGCCTCTCCAGATGACCGAAGTGAACGCGTGGGTTCGTAGACGGAGATGCGGTCACGCAGGTAGGATGGTCCCAAACCGTTCAGGGCTTTGTAAGTAAGCACCTGCACCTTAAATTGGCCTCGGAAAATAAACGGCAGCCAGTGGAGCTCCTTGAACAGGAGGGTTGACCTCTCTCTGTAAGTTAACATCCTGGCCGCTGCTCGTTGGACCAGTTGGAACTTCCGAGCCGTTTTCAAGGGCAGCCCCACGTAGAGCGCATTGCAGTAGTCCAATCTGGAGGTGACCAAGGCATGGACCACCCCGGCCAGATCAGCCTTCGCGAGGTACGGTCGCAGTTGGTGCACGAGTCTCAATTGTGCGAAAGCCCTCCCAGACACCGCCGACGCCTGAGCCTCAAGCAAGCGATGAATCCAAGAGGACTCCCAAACTGCGGACCTGTGGCTTCAGGGGGAGTGTAACCCCGTCCAACACAGGTTGCCACCCTATACCCCGATCAGGTTTACGATCGACCAGGAGGACCTCTGTCTTGTCGGGATTGATCTTCAGCTTGTTCCTCCTCATCCAGATAGACACAGAATATGAATATACCATCAGAGCCACCCCCCCCTCCCCGCAGAACAGGTTGCCATCCAACCTCTACATAAAATGGCTGGGTGGCTATCTGTCAGGAGGGCTTTGATGGTGTCTCCTTTTCTGGCAGAAAGGTTGTTGGAGTGGATGGTTCTTGGGGGTCTCTTCCAACTCTAGGATTCCACAATTATACTGGTATTATTCCTTTGCTATGAGGCTGCAAACTATAACATTCATGGGTTGTTGTGAGTTTTCCGGGCTGTCTGGTCATGTTCCAGAAGCATTCTCTCCTAACGCTTCACCCACATCTATGGCAGACATCCTCAGAGGTTGTGAAGTCTGCTGGAAACTAGGTAAGTAAGATTTATATATCTGTGGAATGATGTCCAGGGTGGGAGAAATGACATTCATTTTGGAGCACAAACAATTGCGGGAACCGTTTTGAACCCTAAGAGTTACTATATACTATTAGGAAGGGCTGTAAAGGCAAGAGGAGAAAAAGGTCCATTTCTTCCAAGGATACACCCAGTCCAACTGCAACTTCTCCACTGGCAGCTCCATGCGCAGCTCCTCGTAGTTGGGAAAATTCGAAGGGATGTACATGGTGATGGGACGGCCCCGCAGGAACATCTTGGTCGAAAACCTTTCTAAAGAGATCAGAGGTAGAGAAGAGAGAGTGTGAACAGGGCCAGGAGAAACCATAAGTTACTTGGAAAGTTGCTTTCTTAGACTACAATCTATTTACAAATTAGACTGATGCTCATCATCATTATCATCATCATTGTCATAACTGCCTCTCTTTTCATAAGCTTGAAGCAGGGCTTGGTTAGAACATATGTTACTTGAAAAGTTACTTTTTTAGACTACAATCTTGTGTATGGCAGGAGGTTGAACTGAATGTCACTTGTGGTCTCTTGCAATAAAATAATACTAATAATACTACTGCTACTACTAGTAGTCTTATAATAATAACACCTGCCTCTACTGCTACAACAACTACTACTACTAATAATACCTGCCTCACTTTTTATCAGCTTGAAGGAGGGCCTGGTTAGACCATAAGTTACTTGAAAAGTTACTTTTTAGCCTACAGTTTTGTGAATGGCAAGACATTGGACTGAATGGCCCCTATAGTTTCTTCCATTGCTGTTGTTGTTGTTATTGTTGTTTAATAGCCATTCAAAGGGCCATTCAGTCTAATGTCCTGTCATTCACAAAACTGTAGTCCAAAAAGTAACTTTTCAAATAACTTATGATCTCTCCAGGCCCTGCCTCGAGCTGAAAGGAGTGGAATGTAATAAATGTAACAACAACAACAACAACAACAACAACAATAACAACAACAATTGGAAAAGCTGACATGATATGAGGATTTAAAGACTCTGGCACAAGCCAGTAAAGGTGGTCCCAGTGGTGATTGGTACACTGGGTGCAATGCCTAAATTTATTTATTTATTTATTTAATACACTTATATACCGCAGTATCTCAGCCTGGAACGGCGACTCATTGCGGTTTAACAACAGATAAAAGCAATATACAATTTAAAAACAGCAACATATAAAACAATACGAATTATTGGGCCACCAATAAAACTTCATGCTTCTCATCACAAAAATCGCAGTCCAGAGTTCGTCATCCATAATTAACCAGTCCTTAGTCCATAGATTCAGTGTTTGATAACTAGTTAAACGCTTGACTACACAGCCATGTTTTTAACCTCTTCCGGAAAACCATCAGCGAAGAAGCCGATCGTATCTCTGAAGGGAGGGTGTTCCAAAGCTGAGGGGCCACCACAGAAAAGGCCCTGTCTCTCGTTCCCACCAGCCGCACTTGGGAAGCCGGTGGGATAGAGAGCAGGGACTCTCCAGAAGATCTTAGGGTCCTGGTGGGCTGATAGGCTGAGATACGTTCGGATAGATAAGTTGGGCCAGAACCGTTTAGGGCTTTAAAGGCCAAAACCAGCACTTTGAATTGAGCCCGGTAGCATATCGGCAGCCAGTGGAGCTGGTGCAGCAGAGGAGTTGTGTGCTCCCAGCGCCCCGCTCCTGTTAGTACCATGGCTGCCGCCCGTTGGACTAGTTGGAGCTTCCGGGCTGTCTTCAAAGGCAACCCCACGTAGAGAGCGTTGCAGTAATCAAGGCGTGATGTAACCAGAGCGTGGACTACCGTGGCTAAGTCAGACTTCCCAAGGTACGGTCGCAGTTGGCGCACAAGTTTTAATTGTGCAAATGCTCCCCTGGTCACCGCCGAAACCTGGGGTTCCAGGCTCAGCGATGAGTCCAGGATCACACCCAAACTGCGAACCTGTGTCTTCAGGGGGAGTGTGACCCCGTCCAACACAGGTTGTAAGCCTATACCCTGTTCGGTCTTACGACTAACCAGGAGTACCTCTGTCTTGTCTGGATTCAATTTCAATTTGTTCGCCCCCATCCAGACCGTCACAGCGGCCAAGCACCGGTTCAGGACTTCGACAGCCTCCTTAGTAGCAGGTGGAAAGGAGTGACAGAGCTGGACATCATCTGCGTACAGATGACATCTCACTCCGAAACTCCGGATGATCTCGCCCAGCGGCTTCATGTAGATGTTAAACAACATGGGAGACAGTATTGAACCCTGGGGAACCCCACAAAGCAAAGGTTGTGGAGTTGAGCAGGAGTCTCCCAGTAACACCATCTGAGACCGACCCTCGAGGAATGAGTGGAGCCACTGTAAAACAGTACCTCCCAACCCCATCCCCGCGAGGCGTCCCAGAAGGATACCGTGATCGACGGTATCGAAGGCCGCTGAGAGGTCGAGCAGCACCAACAAGGACACACTCCCCTTGTCGAGCTCCCGACGCAGATCATCCACTAAGGCGACCAAGGCTGTCTCAGTACCATGCCCCGGCCTAAAGCCAGACTGTGCCGGATCCAGATAATCCGTGTCTACCAAGAATGCCTGGAGTTGTGAGGCCACCACACGTTCCATGACTTTGCCCAAAAAGGGGAGATTGGAAACAGGCCGATAGTTGACGAATTGAGTGGGGTCCAGTGATGGTTTCTTCAACAGCGGTTTTATAACAGCTTGCTTTAAGCTGGCTGGAATTTTGCCCTCCCGAAGGGAGGCATTAACCACCACCTTCACCCACTCGGCCAATCCCCCTCTGGCCTCCTTTAGAAGCCAGGATGGGCAGGGGTCTAGGATGCATGTGGTAGCTCTCATTCCTCCAAGCACCTTGTCCACATCCTCGGATTGAACCAATTGAAATGAATCCATCAAAACCGGACAAGCAGATGCTCGTGTTACATCCTCAGATACTGCCGTTAATATGGTATCCAGTCCAGAGCGGATCAAAGCGACTTTGTCTGCGAAGAACCGAGCAAAAGCTTCGCAGCGAGCTGCCGAGTCATCAGGGCACCCATCCTGAGTGGCGGGTTTTAATAGGCCTCTGACAACTCGGAACAGTTCAGCCGGACGGTTCTTTGCAGACGCAATAGTGGCCGCAAAGAAAGTCTTCTTTGCGGCTTTTATTGCCGCGGCATATGCCCTTAAAAAGGACACAAACCGTGTTCGATTTGGCTCGCTCGGATCCGAACGCCACACGCTCTCTAGTTCCCTCTTCTTTCGCTTCAACGCTGCCAGCTCCTCGGTGAACCAAGGAGCTGGTTTAGCTCGGCTACTTGAGAGGGGACGTTCTGGAGCGATCGTGTCTATTGCCCTAGTCATCTCCCCATTCCAGAGAGCGACCAGGGCATCAACAGGATCACCAACCGAAGTGGCGGGAAATTCCCCAAGAGCCGTCAGGAATCCATCCGGATCCATAAGCCTCCTGGGGCGGACCAACTTAATGGGTCCTCCACCTCTGCGGAGGTTAGGGGGAGCAGTGAGTCTAAAACTGACCAGATGGTGGTCGGTCCATGGCAACGGAGAGATGGATAACTCCTCAACACCGCCACCTTCCTCCCATCCCTGGCAGAAAACCAAATCCAATGTATGTCCAGCACTGTGGGTGGGGCCAGATACTTGTTGGGACAGCCCCATGGTTGCCATGGTAGACATGAAGTCCTGAGCCACTCCCGATGAGGCGGACTCGGCGTGGATATTGAAGTCCCCCAGCACAAGCAGCCGTTGGGACTCCAACGCCAGGTCCGAGACCACCCCTGCTAGCTCAGTCAGGGAGTCTGTAGTGCAGCGAGGTGGCCGGTACACTAACAGAATCCCTAGTCTGTCCCGGTCACCCACCCTCAGGTGGACGCATTCAAAATTTGTGGTCTGCGGAATGGGCCCTGGTCAGAAGAATAGAATCTCTATAGACTACTGCAACCCCGCCTCCCCGCCCTCCGGATCTCGGTTGGTGCTGTACGGAGAAACCTGGTGGG